GGAAGAGGGAGAGACAGAAACATCAATGATGAGAGAATCACTGACCGGCTGCCTCCTGCATGCACCCTACTGAGGATTAAGCCCGAAACCCGGGCATGTGCCCTTGACTGGAATCAAACCCGGGACCCTTCAGTCTGCAGATCGACACTCTATCCACTGAGCCAAACCAGCTAGGGCTGCTCCCAGCTTTAGAATAACACCCACACTCTCCTGTTTTAGATCTACTGTTTTGTGTGTGTTTTTGTACTTTTCAGCACCTGGCACATAGTGGGCACTCAATATCTACAGACTGAACATTTGCCTGGAATTCCCTTTATACTTTCTTCACCTGGTAAGACCAGTTCAGGTCTGTTCCAGGAAGGCTGTCTTGAAGGCCCAGGTGGGCACATACTCCTCCAGTGTCCGGTGCACCACATGCTATTTCCCATGTGCCACTGAAACTGTTTACGTGCCTTTCTTCCTCTCTAGACCATTAGGTCTTCTAGAGATACAGGTCTAGAGCACATCTGCATTCCCAATGCCTAGCACACGGTAGGTGCTCAATAAATGCTCAATTCTTAAATTAACGCCATTCACCCACAGAGTGGAAACCGTATCCCAAACACCTCAAACACCTCCCAGGACCCACTGCCCTCTGCAGTAGGCTCAGCCGGAAGCAGGTTTCCAGCAGGTTAGGTCAACAATCAGCCAAACCACTTCCCACTCCTTCTCCTGAGTGAAGCCATTTTTGCCCTCCCCCTAAAACTGAGCAAAGTGGAGAATGGGGAATTTCCTGAAATTCGAATTCATCAAAGCTACCCTACTTTGTGCTCTAGGGCATTGGTACTGTCTCCACTTGAACTTGGTCACCTGGCAAAGGAACTCAGTGACCAGGAGGCTGGTGTGCAGTGATGGGGGCAGGCTGCAGACCTAGGCAACAAGGGTATATATGCACACCTCTGAGTTGTATGTTAGTTTTCCTGTCACTCAGACATTTGATTAAAGACAAGAATGATGTACTTCCCACGTCTTCCCTGGGGTTAGAGCTCGACTGTCTCCAGATGCAATCGTGGCTCCCCTGGGAATACTTGGAGGAGCCCAACCGTTCAGAAGGAAGTAGGCAGCCACCATCCCACTTGAGTCACTGAAGGACCAGGGCAGGGACTTCTAGCTGAGGGTCAAAATGGTGGCAGGGACATGTCTGGCTTACCCTGGGCTCTTAGAAACAATAATGCTGACCGCAGGGTAAACTCCAAGACTAGGACAGAACGCTCTGCTCTCTGCCAGCACCCCCACTAGTGACTGCTCCCCTTGGGGAGACAGGAACCCCTTCAGGGAGGGTTCCACATCACCTTGCTTTGCCCACCTGTAGGCTGCCCAAAACGTCTTGCTGGGTTGGTCTGTTCCTTCCTTTTGAGCAAGAACTCAACATCTGAAAAAATGTAATAGTAGTCTTTAGAAAGTAGTAACCGTGAGTCTCGGGAATAATCCCTGTCCCAAGGTGACAGATGTTGGCACATCAATGGCTCCCCCACAGCTTAAAAATCAGTTCTGAGTTCCCTGCCTCAAACTACCTCCCACGACTCCTTGGGGTTCTCTGAATCTGTAACATTCATTCACCTCAATCCACCTCATATTGTTACCTATTTTCACATGGGTATGGTTTTGTCTTCCCAAGTATAATTTAACTTCCAGAGGGCATGGGCCCGACTTACATACTGCTTTCGCATTCTCCTTAGTATCTGGCACAGTGTTGGGCACCAAGTGGAAGAATCACTAAGACATATTTTGCATAGTCAATTCCAAGGCCATTCACATTGCTATCATAGCATTAACAGATTTCAGAGTACTTGTTTCCTTTTGAAGATCATGTTTTAGGTTCGAGGTATCTGACAAAACTAGGGTCTGCTTTTCGGGGGTCTGATTTTAATCTGTTTGTGGAACTTTGCAAAGTATTCAAACATCAGACAGGTACCCTTTGGCAGAAGAAGGGTTTCAGGGAAACTCCTCAGCACAAAGCCTGGCCTCAGCAGCAGCGTCCCCCGGCCTGCTCTTGGCCCTGCAGTTTCTGCCTGGCCTGGGAGCCTGTCCTCAACTGCAGGGCGCCTCTCAGCCTGTGTGTGGAGGAGGGAAACGCGCTGGTGGTTAGCAATCTCCAGGCACGACTCCCTGAAGTCTGAAGTAGAGGAAAAAGGAACAAAGTGTTTCAAGAAAAAAAGCGCGCTGGGACTTTTTGGGATTGATTTTATTTGGGCTTCTCACAGTGGTTAGAGCCACTCTGTCTTCAGAACAATCACAGCACAGGAAATGCGTCACCGAGACTGCCCAGAAAGGTCTGACCAGCTGAATCTTATTGCTTAAAATACACAAATTCACATAACTGACAAATGGTGATGTGCCGCACACAGGAATGTGTTAGCATTTGCAAATCTTCTGACTGTAGCACCAAACCCTCGACCAACCCCTTCCTTCTCCTTCACCTGGAAAACCAGACTCCACCAAATCTCCCTGGCCCCCTAACCAGTCCTTCAACTCCCAGTTTCCCTTCCCTTTGCATGCAGGGCAGCCTCCTGGAGCAGGGACAGACTGTGACTGCTGGAATCAAGCCCCGCTCCGGGTTCCATTATCCCAGACTCCTGCCTTAGGGTGGGACGCCGCAGTGAAGCTTCACACACAGACCAGTTCCCCCCTCTAACGGGGCAGGAAACATGAGAGGGCCAGAATTTATCCATTTGATCAGTGAACTGAAGGCAGACTCATTTTGGTAAAACTTGATGTTCTTGGAGACACTTCAGTGAGTTGTTTGGGATTTTTTCTTTTTAACTGTGGAAGGCAAGGCATCTGAGGGCTGCTGACGCACTCCCGCCCACTCTCGCCACGCACCGGCTTGCTGACATGAGCTGGACCTCGGCATAGGAAGGTAAGCCCTGCGGTGTCTGCCAGACCTCCTGGCAATTCTGGGCAGAGCTGACGTCTGGGCCACAGCTAGTCCAAGCTTGTCCCTGAAGATCCAATTAAGCCTTCGGTCTGGAGTTCCACCTTCACCTTCTGCGCCGAGTGGTTGTGAACACCCCCCAGGGGGCTGATACCGAGGGCCGGGAGCAGCCGAGGGAGGCAGACAGGTTCAGAGCACGATTCCATTTACAGGGAACAGAACACAGGCCTCCGCATGTCCGCGGAGCAATGTGCAAATTGCAGTGATGGGTAGAGGAAAACCTCTACTTTGAGGACAGTATTTCTGGCAAACACGGGACTGCCGTCGACAATGCTGCTGAATACACCCGAGTACACAGTCAGACAATTGTTCAGTAAACAGTAAATGCGTAAAATAAATTACCTTGAGAGGGCCATATCTGCTCCGAACACGTGATAAATGGGAACAGAATGGCTGCCAGTCAAAGTATATTCACAGGAAAACAGGGTTGGGGGCTCATACACAACACACACGCACGCACACACACACACACACACAGGTTATCCAAAAAGTCATTGTATACGGACTTCACTTTGTTCAACACAGATTTTGGTTTCGTGGATTCCAAACACAGACACTCATTCACCTCACAGCCTTGGATTTGTCTATTTTTGTATATGTCTATATTTTTTCCCTTTCTTATCAAAAGGTCAATGCCTAGTCTAAATGTCATCGTTCAAGAGTGGGGGAAGAACCAAACTCTTCCAATGAACAGGGCAGAGCAGGGAATGTTAGTTTCGGCTGCTTGTTTTCTCCATTCAGATTCTTCCCATCAAAGCTCCACTGGTTATCTGAAGCCAAACTGCAGTGACAAGGATCCCGCGATCCTTCTGGACGGCTCCTCCGGCTCCTCCACCCCCTCCTGGGGCCACTCAGACTCTTTACATAGGCTACGACTGGTTACCCCACTCACAAGGGGAGGGGGGCATGAAAACCACAGATAACCAAGGCAATTTCCCCCCCAAGTGGTTAGTTAAAACAACAACAAACTTATTCAGAATCAAGAGAAAATACTGTGTGAGAACCGGCCTGTAGGGCTGCCCTTGCTAAGCACCACAGCCTCGTTTGTTCAGAGAACAGTGAGACGTACAGGCCCAAAGACTGCATGCTTGGGTTGGGGGCGGGCCCTGGCTACCTGTGGGCACAGACCAAAGGGCAGAGATGCAGAAGGCTGCCCCTCTACCCACCACTGTGGCTCAGGGCTGCCTGTGCACCCACAGAAGGTCCGGAGACAGCCTCCGCCCAAGCCGCTACACAGAACAACTCCTCTGGCTCTTTGAAGGCCAGCTTGAGAAAGAGCCGCAGACTTCCCTTTTCCAGAATAGAATTCTTGCCTGCCCTCTGGTAAAGCTCTTGTTTTCAGCTCGCTTTTGTTCTTTTTCTATTAAAAAAAAAAAAAATACAAAGAGAAGGCAGTATAAAGTTCTCCGCCTGCACCAGTCTGCAGCCAGCCAGAACGTGCTGGGCAGGGATGAAGTGAGGCATCGATCTCATCACCTGGAATTTGGGAATGCAACAAACCCTTACCTACCTACTACCACCAGCAACCCATCAGCCCTCACCCTCCCACAGGACTGGGCCAAGTCCAGCTCTGCAGACACTGGCATCGAGGGATGACAACCCCTGGGTCTCTGCAGGCTTCCTTCACCCAGGGCTGAGACCTGCTGCCTCTCCCGACGGACACAGCAAGGTTCTCTTACACGAATACCAGAGCAAAAATCCACTCCATCACCAAGAGTCACCTCAGGGTGACTTCCTTGGGGACTTCTTAAACACACAGTACCTCCGACCAGGCAGGTAGTGAAATATGACTTGAGAAGGAAAAAAAGGAGATGGGTGGGGAATGAGGAATGAGTCACAGAACCAACTTCTCAGCCCTCCACAATACTGTGCTTCTATGGGGGGCGGGGCATCCACGCCCCAAACTGTACCTGGAGATGTAGGAAAATGCAGAAACAAAGGAGGGGGAAGGGGAGGGAGAAAAGAAGGAAGGAAAAAAAAAGAGGAAAAAAAAAAAAAAAGACCAAGTGGCTGTACCACTTTCTTGGAAAGTCACTTAATGCTTCTCTCGTGGTTCTCCCCTACCCTGGTTGCTTTGCCAAGTTCTCAGATCCGGGCAAGGCCTGCTCTAGCTGGGGGAGCTGCTGCTCTGGGAGTTCGGGGAGTCCTGCTCATTGATGGTGTTCAGCAGCAGGCACGCCGGTGGCCGGGGCAGGTGGGGATGCCCAAGATCTCGGGCCTGCTCGGCGGAGGGCGGGCACAGCCCTTCTTCCTCGTCACCCGGGGGCCGCACGTGGCAGCTGTCGCAGAATTCCAGGGGCCCGTCCAGAGCGTCGTCGATGAGGGCGCTGAACTCTTTGAGGCTGTCGTCGTGGTGGCCCCGGTTGCACACACACACCTCGATGCCCGAGTCCCCCGTGAAGCGGCGATGTCTGCCAGGCGTCTTGTCCCTGCTGTCGGGGAGGGCGCCACCCTGCTCGCAGCTGTAATCTTTCAGCAGCTCCTCCTTACATTCGGAATCCTTGTCCATGAAGGCCCCGGGGGCCAGCTCCCCCAGGTCAGCCACAGAGCCGCTGGGCTCCATTCCAGGGACTTTGGTGGCTGCTGGGTCGGCTGGCATGTCGATGGTGGAGGGCTCAGGGTCAGCGATGATGCTCGGGGGTCTTGTGCTGCTTCTGCTGGACCCTGACAAGGGGCTGCTCTGGGCGCCCTGGGAGCCCCTGGCGGGATCAGCACCTGGGGGGCTGCCGCCTGCAGGGCCGCACTGTGCAGACAGCTGCTGCTGCTGTAGTTGGAAGGCACTGTATGGTGGGGGAGGAGTTGGAGGTCGGTTCACCACTTCCTCATAAGGAGGTAGTAAATAGTTTGGCAAAAACCCTAAAATGGGGAGGCAGGGAGGAGAAGTTATTGCATTGGCAATTGTTCTAGGACAGAGACATTCCGCATTTGTCTCTTCCCACCCCAGCATACCCACCGAATGACAGCTACAGCTCTTGGTTGTGGGCAGGGCAGAGGGCTGTGGGAGTCACCTAAGCTAGCCTCTTGAAACCTGAGAACCCCTAAAGCTGCTTCATAGGCAAAGATTTCTGCCTGTATGGTCTGGAGCGAAGGCAGAGGGTTAGGAAAATGTGGTGGATGGCCAAGAGATCATTTCTGTCTGGAATGGACCTGCTTCACATGCAGGCACGTCTCCTGTTTCACGGTCAGACTGTCCTCCGCTTATGCCCCATTAGGCCTCGGGGTCAGGGACCCTAACTTAGGACTCTGACCACTTTTTTCTTCCCTCACCCTTCCAGATGTATATTATGAAGAGGGCCTTATTCTGGGAGGTTGTAAATCTGTGTTGTCTCTCACTCTTGTGTGGCTGGAGGTGGTCTGGAAAGACAAACCAAACCTCATCTTGACTCAGATCAAGAGGGGATGGCTTACCAGTGAAGGGTGAGGGCCTGTCATCCAAGACTTAGTAAGAACATGCCAGGTGAGTTATCTTTTCCCTGTGCTGAATGCTTTGAGGCACTGATGATCTGATTGTAACTGTTAGCGTTTATTGAGCACTTACTACATGCCAGGCTCTGTATTAAGCACTTAACCCTTCTAGATGTGAAATTTCACATTTGTGATCATTTTTTTCTATAGAACATACTGCAAAATGGCTTTGGACAAGCTGCCTAGCCAGGCCTCCACTGATTGAGAGGGCCTATGTATGGAGGCCCAGAGGTCAGGTGAGTGCCCTTTAGTGAGTCACCGAGTTTCTTGATTCTCAGAAATGTCACCTCCACACACACCTGTCTCTTTCATGGCAGCCTCTGCTCAGCATGATTTAGTAAACTAAATCTCAACTCACATCATCCATCATCCAACTACCTGCCTAAAAAAAATCTGCCAAAGAAGCAGAGAGACCTGGTCAGAACCCAGACAGCGTAGGTGTGGAATGGCCCAGCGCACCCCTAGCAGTGGCTGCTCTGTGCTGATGTGACTGCCCCCTTCTCCTGTACTTTCAAAGCCCTGCTCCGTGCTTGGCAAGGAGGCAAACCCCCGGGGCCCATTGGAGCCCTGGCCACCAATACACACAGTCTGTGTGTCCTGGGCTCCCGAGGGTGGGGTTGGGGGCCTTTGGGGTACGTACTGAAGTAAAATGGCAGCGTTGAGTAATTGTGGGCTTCCCGGTAGGCAATCAGGTTGATTTCATGCTGCCGCTGCTGGGCCTGAAGGCGGTGCTTGGCTCGGCGGTGGTGGCAGACACAGCAGCAGCTCAGGATGATGATGATGGTCCACACCAGCCAGAACCCTGGGGGTGGGAAAGCAAGATAGAGAGGCAGGGACATAGTGAACACCAGCCGGAGGGCAGCTCTCAGCAGTGCCCACCTGGTCAGCGCTGGAACTGTTAGGCCTCACTCAGCGAATTCACATTTAGAACCTGCATTCCATTTTCATAAATATTTGTGCCGAAGTGAAAGACATGTGGGACGGAAGAGGGCAGGATTGTAAGAATGACAGTAAAGGAGGCCACTCAGTCTGGGGGGCCTCCAGGGACCTCGGGGGAAGGGCAGAGTGCCAAGGCAACTCTCCAGCCCACTGGTCCTCCCGTATTTTTGGTTTGATGGGCATTATATATGCTCCCCTTTTAGGACAGTGTACTTTTCCTCTGTTAGGAGACCTCTGAGAGCCCAGCCAGTGTTGCTCAGTGGTTGAGCATCAACCCATGAACCAGGAGGTCACGGTTCAATTCCCTGTCAGGGCACATGCCTGGGTTTTGATCCCCAGTGTGGGGTGTACGGAGAGCAGCCGATCAATGATTCTCTCTCACCATCGATGTTTCTGTCTCTCATCCTCTCTGAAATCAATAAAAACATTTTTTAAAGAGAGATCTCTGAGAACATGCTCTAGCTTCTCTTAGTGTCTATCTTCTCCCATTAGGACAGCTCCAGGCTTACTTTTGCTGCTGATACCAGGCTACTCACCAAAAGCAAAGAGCCTCCCAAAATCGCCACAGCTCAGCTGATTAACTACAAAGGGGCCTGGGAGGGACTGCCTGATAAAGCAATTCTTAGGGTCTTCCTAGTATCATCAAAAGGACTTGGGGCTTTTCTTTACCAGTACCCTCCATAATGTAAGAATCCCTAAAGTTAGAAGTGGAAAATTCTAATTGCCTCAGGTCCATCTCTTCCCTAGGGAGTGCAAATGACTTCCTCAGCTCTTGATATAATCCGGTACAATTCCATCTCCTATCACACAATCCACTCCCACCTCCCTTTGGCCTGCAGCTGCATTAGACTCAGGGCCCTGAGCAGCCTCCCCTCCTTCCACCCTGTCCCAGAGAGGAGCAGAGGAACAGGGGAGAAGGCCCACAGCCCTCTTTTCTCCGGGTGCATTATTTCTTCTCATTTCTTCTCACTTCCCATTTCCCACTGGTTTTTAGTTGCCCCTCTTCAATTTTCAAATGCATACAAAAAAAGCTTCCTAAATTTTTTTTAATTAATGAGCAATTTTGTTTTAAAATATATATACACATGGGGGAACTGGAATGAAAAAAACACACAAAAAAAGTGACCTATCTTTAAGTAGTGAGATTATGACAAATTTTAATTCTCCCCCCCAATTATTTTCTTCTTTCAAATTATAAAAATCAAAACGAAGTAAATGAAAACTTAATATATCTGTGATTAATTTTATTTTTGCAGGTTTTTATTTTTAAAATTAATATATTTTTGGATGGACTTTCAAATTACTCTGGGAATATATTCATAAAATGAAATGACAGGTGTCATTAAAAATTATTCATAGAGCTGAAACCGGTTTGGCTCAGTGGATAGAGCATCGGCCTGTGGACTGAAAGGTCCCGGGTTTGATTCCGGTTAAGGGCACGTACCTTGGTTGCAGGCACATCCCCAGTGGGGGGTGTGCAAGAGGCAGCTGGTAGATATTTCTCTCTCATCGACGTTTCTAACTCTCTATCCCTCTCAATTCCTCTCTGTGTAAAATCAATAAAATATATTTTTTTAAAAAATTATTCATAGATACTGTTTTTTTAAAGATGTTTCTAATCCTAATATATAAAGAGCCAGGGTCCGTAACATCCAAAACAACCAAACACATGACTGAACACCAGGCTGCGTGTGCAGAAGGCTGGGGTGGGTGGGGACTGTCAAGTGGGCTAAACTGCTCACTGACTGCCACTGCCAAGGTGGCTGCGATGCGATTGGTCGGAGGGCTCCTGCCATCACTCCATGATTGTGCCGCTGAGGGAGGCCCAGGTCACCAGCCAGGGTGCTCTGTGACTGCCCCAAAGAGGGAGGCCAGGCTACCCAGCTGGCGGCAGTGGATAGGGCCTCCCTCTGAGGGGTGATCAATCATAGGGCTGAAGGACCGCCCCCCTGCCCCAGTGCATGAATTTCGCGCATTGGGCCTCTAGTATTAAATTAAAAAGCAGATTACAAAACAGTATAAAATATGATCCCAATTTTTGCTTTAAAAAAAGTCTACCTAAACATTTAGGAATGATCAGGAAGTTAATCCCAAGGTTATTCCTGGATATCAGGGCATATTTCTGGTAACAGCTCCTTCATTTTCTGCTTATCTACATTTCCTAATTTTTCTAAGGTGAATGTACTTCTTAGAAATTAAAAAATGGATCTGGCCCTAGTCGATCTGGCTTAGTGGATATAAAGCATCAGCCTGCGGAGTGAAGGGTCTCAGGTTTAATTCCAGTCAAGGGCACAAGCCTGGGGAGGGGGCCATACAGGAGAAAGCCAATCAATGACCCTCATTATTGACGTGTCCATCTATCTCCCCCTCTGATATCAATAAAAACATATTTTAAAAAATTTTATCTGAGGAACAATTTGTAGGTAAACTGTTATTAAATGAGAATAGATTACATTACTGTTCATTTATTGCCTATTCTGAATAACTTCAGATTTTTTTCCATTACAAATGCTACATCTAGTTTTTATCATCTGCTTTATAATTATAAATCTGTTTAGAATCTGTTAAGTATTTCCACATGTACTTCTTGCCAGAATGAGCTAACATCATGTTTTTTTAGGCTTACTCTCCCTACAGACAGACCTATAAATGAATAGAATCCTGATTTTTTTATTTTTTTTTCCTGTTTGTACCAAAACACACTATTCTAAAAGATCCCACTGACATTTAGGGTGTGGCCTCTGGCAACAGCTCTTTCCGTTCCCCAGTTGTGTCCCCACTAAATCTCCCCACAGAGCCAGCCTTACAGGGTGATGGCAAGGCAGCACAGCCGCCAGGCTCTGGCAAGCTGTGTGGCACCTAACTGCTTGTGGTACATGTTCAATGGAACTTTCTGCACGGCCCTGGCAAGAGAACAGGCGGAGGGCAATGGGCGGAGGAATTTTCCCCCATTTCCCCAATAGCAGACAGAAAAACCTCATTCCCAACCAGAGAACATAAACTTAATTTGAACTCAGAAGTCTTCTTTCCCTTCCCAGATTCACTACTGACATTTGCTTATTCAACTTACATTTCTCTCCTGTTGCTGGATGACTGAAGACTAGACAGACACTGTTAGCGGAGCCCGGAGGATGTGTTGAGGCCAGAAAGGAGCTCTGAAGAGAACTGGCTACCTGCTGCCATCCTATAACATCGCCTCCAGGTCGATCTAGTTACCTCCAGCCTCTTAGGCGGGACTGCATTGGAGAAAGGCTCCACAAATAAGCACAGTGCATTCTGCTGAAGAGCCTGACTACCAATGTATTTAAAAATCACAAAGACTCTGGGCTGAACTCTCTATATTATCTACATTTCTCTTATTTTCCAGCATAACCTTCATATTTCTGTGTTACTTGATAATTTATAAAATACATTCTTCCATTAGATCAGGGGTGGGGAACCTTTTTCCTGCCAAGGGCCATTTGGGTATTTATTACATCATTCGTGGGCCATACAAAATTATCAACTTAGAAATTAGCCTGCTGTATTTGGTCATTTAATTAACTCACCGCTAATGCCGTGGCAGGGCCAACCCAGATGGTTTCGTGGGCCTTACATGGCCCTGGGGCTGGACATTCCCTTCCCCTGCATTAGTGAATCAACATTTAACTCTATTATTTTTTACTTCTAGTCATTTTTTGTAGTTTCTTACCAAAAGGTAAAACAATTTTTAACATTCATGCCACAAAATTCATGATCTAAGGCAGTAGTTCTCAGCTTTTAAACATGCTTAAACACACACACACACAAAACAAAAACAAAAAACATTGCTTTTAATAGGAAAAATCTCCTGCATTGGTTTTCACACTGGCCAGATATTTCTGGTTTCCCCTGCTCTTGGCACATGGGTAGGTTGAACTTCTTGGTCCCTTTCTGATTGAATGAGGCACTGGGACTGGCTTTAACTAATGAATTCGTATTAGAAATGACACATCTTTTAGAGGCCAGGATACTTCTTGCTGACGTGAGACTCTCCAAGAGTTTTCCTTCTGCCATGGCAATTGGCAACATTCAAGAAAGTGACTTTAGGGTCTGTCTGGTCCTAGAGGATGATGAAGTGAGCACAAAGCTCCCAACCAATCTGCGACACACACATACTATAGTGTGAGAAGTAAACCTGTTGTTTTAACCCGCTAGGAGTTTGAACTTGTTTGTTACTGCAGCATAACCTAGACTGACCGATGCAATGAATTTATAGGCTTTTCAGGTGAGAGAGAGTATTTAGCCAGTTAACTGCCACACATCCATAACAGAAACCATCCCCACTGTGTCTATAGACATTTATGGCTTACAAAGGGTTAAAGGGTCCAGCAGATCCTCCTCTCCCCCACCCCATTGATTTTTAGAGAGAGTGAAAAGGAGACGGAGAGACACACAGAGAGAAAAACATCAATGTGAGACAGATACATCGACTGGTTGCCTCCTGCATGTACCATGAGCTAAGGATTGAGCCTACAACTAAAGTATGTGCCTGACTGGAATCAAACCTGAGCCCCTTCAGTTTGCAGGCCGATACTCTATCCACTGAGCCAAACAAGCTAGGGCAGACTAATCAGATTCATAAGCAGATCCTTGATCCAGAAAAAGGCTGCGATCCACTGAACTATAAATATAAAAGAAAAAGAGGGCCTTTAAAAAAAAAAAAAAAGGAAAAATTAAGCAAGTCAAGGGGACTGGGGAAAGAAAAGGACAACTGGATTACTGTGTGAATGAAAACTATGGGAAAACTAAAGTGGGGAGCAAAATGAGTCTAGTGGTACGTGTGATGACATAGTATTATTATAGTAAAGGTCCAGAAAAGACCTCGAATGAGCTGATCCCACTTAATGGAAGGCAGAAGGCATCCATTTAATGGAAGGTGGAAGGCATTCTTGTCTGACCCTCACAAAACGGATCCTCCTGGGAGCCGTTCTAGTCAAAGCAGTGTCCTATCAACTTTCAAGGGGGAATATCCAGACTAATTCTTAATGGAGTTGTGCCAACTTTTGATCTCTTTGCTAGATTTCACAAACAAGGAAGAGCTTAAGAAAGGAAAACTTAATGAAAGTGACACAGTGAAAGACACATACCTACCCAGTGATTAAATCCCTCAATGACGACTTTGAAACCTGTGACCTCATGGTAGGGGGCATATGTCATGCTAAGCAAAATGGAAACATGCTTTTAAAAACAATCAGAGTCCAATGTTCGCACAGAGTCACGTGCCCCAGAGTTCACAATAAACTTGAGAAAACACCACTCCCCAAATGGCAGGAAATTCCTCCTTAGAAGCCACAGCATACTGGAAATTAGCTCTCCTCTTTCGGGATGGTACGTGACCCCCTGCGCTCCTTACACCTCTCAGAAGGAGCTCCTGCCACTACCACTGGGAAAAGGCCTGAATTTGGGAAATGACTTCAGCGGACTTGCAACTTGATCTCAAAGACTGGACAAGTTTCCTATAAGCATGACTGCAAACAGAAAAGAGGCAGACAACCGGGGTACAAATCCCAGCGCACAAAGCCATTTCCTAGCTTTGTGGCCGATCATTTTTTTACTTCCCTCATCTGTAATATGGGGAGAATGATGCTCTCTAACGACTTGGTCACTGTGAGGAAAATTAGCTAATATATGCAGAGTATTCAGAACCATGGTATCAACTTAAATTCCCCAGTTTATTATTACTCCTGTTGTTGTTACAGGCAAGGTTTTAAATTTCTCTTTTAATCCATAATCTGCTTGTAGGTTCTATTCTTGTCTAAATCCATTGGAAAACCAACCCATCTACACTGATCAGCCTGCCCTTGTTCTGAAGCCTGGAGAGCTAGGGAACTGGGGTCCAGTCAGGGCCTCGAGAAGGCCCCAGCTCCTTGGCTCAGCAGGGCAAATGCCCTAGGCCTTCCTTAAGAGCAGCTCAGCAATAAGTATCTTAAGAGAAACTAAAAATTAAGAAAAAGGCTAAAATGTGAAAAGATGTGCAGCATTAACTGAATTTGCTAATAATCTGTCTGATGTCATCTCAGGAAAATTCCCCTGTGCCTCATGAAAGCCCCAACCAGGGAAAATTGATGCCTGATTGAAGTTCCCCAAAATTATAGTAGGAGCAAAAATTCCTCTGACCGCTCCCTAGAAAGTGGAGCCGGGTGAATGGAAAGAGCCCAGAGATGAAAATTGGGAGGTCCAGGTTCAGGCTGTTTGGCCGTGAGTATGTTCCTGGCCTCCCCGGGTCTCATTTTGTTGTTGTTGTTGTTGGTTTGGTTTGGTTTTGTTGCATCTTTAGGTGGAAAGTAAATATGCACATTCGAGACCCTCCAGGACCTGGGCCCATCACCCTCCATCCTGGCACTTGGCATTTGGACGGCTGTGGAGTGAGGAGCACTGACTTTATTACTCAGCTGCATACCCCTGGTCCAGAGACACAGGACGAAGGTGAAAGGAGACGATGTGCATGAGGAACCAGCTTAGTGCCTGGCACTAGGAGAGTTCTATGCACATTAGCACCCAATGTTATCGCCGTTTCTTCCCAGTGGAGCCGCAGGGGAAAGATTAACAATGTGATCCATACTCTGTTCTTTCTCACTGGGCCTCGGCCTATGGTGTTCCTCTGCCTGGAAAATCATTCTAACCTTGACCATGTGTTTAAATCTACCCACCTTTTAAGTCCAACTTCAAATGCTGCTTCTTCCACCCAGCCTGCCTAACTCCTATCCAGCCAAAGCAAACTTTCCTTTGGACATTCACAGCAGTTCTGGCAAATACATTCCACCCTCTGCTGTGTGTTACTGCAGGGCATTCTTGAAGGCAAGGATTCTATCTGCCCACATTTTCCAACACAGAAGAGGCCAGAGCATTCAGGAGGAACTTGTTAGAATTGCAAATTCTCAGGTCGGCCTCAGACCTATTGAATCAAAATATCCGGGAGTAGGGCCCAGAAAACTGTGCTTTAATGAGTCCTCCAGGAAATTCAGATGCTTGCCAAAGTTCAAGAACCACTGAAATAAGGGTTTGCTGAACGAATACATGATTGAATGATGAGTTAAAGTGCAAGTGTGTGTGTGGGTGTGTGTCTACGCACGCACGCACATATGTGTGTGTGACAGTCCTCAGCACACAGGAAAATTCAGCTCAACAGAAATAAAAGGGTTGGTGCAAATGGCATTTTCCCCCTAGAAGCCTTCTGCAAAGGATTTCCTGGCTGATATTTTCTTCCTTCCAAAGTAAAGAGACAAAAAGAATAACCCAAAGCCCATTACTTGCACATTGTAGGCAAAGTTTAGAGGCAATTAGAGGGAGTAGGTTTCAAGGCCACAGAAAGTACAGTTTTGATGAGAACTAAAACGGCACATTCCAACACTCAACCCTCTCTCCATACACATCAGATGACGGTCAAGACCCTAATGAGGAGGAAAACCAAACGATTCTCAGGGGGGTGGGGCACTCTCTGGGCATCTCTTACCAAGAAGCCATTCTGAGCACAGGTGAGAGGAAAGTTCTGCTTTTACAGTCTCCATGCCTGAAGAACTTAGAAAGCATGAACCAACTGGAATAATGGTTTTCTCCTCGTTCAGATTCTGGTTTCTATCTGGCCTCCCCTTTCCCAGCTGACCATAACTGGAGAGAGAACTGGCCACTCGTGCAGCTCTTCCTCCGGCTTTTTCAAGCCTCCCTGCCATCTGGGTCTCCCTGTCCCGCCACCCCGCCACCCCACTACCCTGCCCTGGCTTCGGTGACCCGATTCTGGTGGCTACGGAGCCTGCTTTGCCAGCAGCCCAGGAGGCTCTGTCAGTCTGAGATGGGGCCATCAACTTCAGCCCTTTCCGCAATGACGGGCCTGGGCCAGGCCCCAGAAAAACAAACTGTCAGCTTTGTGGCTTTCTGGCAGCCTGGCTTCGACTTTTGTTTTAACAAGGGGTGGGAGGGAGAATTTGAACCCTGTGGTTATCTGCATTTGAAAACATTTAAACAGAGTCTGTCCACCTGCTTGGCACTTTGTGTTCTCCAGTAAGTCCTTCAGCCCCACCCCTTCTAAAATAGCGACAATAATTCTGAGCCTCCTTGGTGGCTGTTTATATATTGATATGTGGGAGGACTGCGGGAAAGGGGAATATCCTGAAATCTGTCTTCTCCTTGGGGGAGGAGTCTACACTTGACCCCCACCTGGGATTCCTCAGAAAGGTTCTCAGTCTCAAAGGGGAGGTACCAGGGTGAAAAGAGGTCCTGTTTTGTAAAAACCACTCCCACTGGCTACAAGATCCTTTTGCTTTTGGAGGGAGTCTTCCCGGCCAAGAGTCTGATTTCCTCTCCATTCCAGATCATAGCCCTTCTAGCTGCTTTCTGACATATCACTGATGTAGGGGGAATAGGAACTCAAAAAGAAGAGAGGGAACAGGGACAGGGGTGCTGGTGGCAATAAGGGAATGGTTTGACAAACAAGTCCAAAGTTCATTTCCAAGTGGAGGGAGCTAGGGGTGCTTAGAATTATCTGGAGAAACTGCCTATCATTTCCTCTCTCAGCAGACAGTTGTGAGAACCACTGCAGTGATGGCCACCTGCCCTAAGGACTCTCCCACCCTCCCATTCTTCCTCGAGCATCTGATAGTGTCTTGTCTGAGTACTCCGAAGATCAGAGTACAAAGTGAGTTAGTGAACAGTATCCCCACCCTTGGGCATCTCTGGAAGGTACAAGCGGTCCTGGCTTCAACCAAACCAGTGGCAAGACAAGGACTGTCTGTCTCCACAGGGCAACGAGCTGACGGTAACAGGTTGGTGCATTGGAAAAGCCTCCAGACACTTCAGCTTGAGAGCACGGGGCTCCCTCTCTCCAGGAGGGCTCTGCAGGCAGGAGCTACAGAAAGATTATCCCTTTGAGAGGGACCTCAGGAACAGAAGCAGCTCCTTGATGCTCCATGGGGAGTTCCAGAATCTTGTAGTTTTGTTTTTTAATTGATTTCAGAGAGAGGAAGGGAGAAGGAGATAGAAACATCAATGATGAGAGAGAATCCTCCTGACATGACCCCTACTGAGGATCAAACCCGTAAACGGGCATGTGCCCTAACGGGGAACCAAACTCCTGGTTCATAGGTCAACACTCACTGGCCACACTGGCCAGAAACCTTGTGGTTCTTATTTAAAAAATAAATTAAAAAATGGACTTACAGCCATTCCCAGAGCCCAGCTTGGCATTCACAGCAGCTTAGCTGCTGAAACCTCTCTTCACAAAGAGGGCAAGCTTAGGAGCCTGGGATGCCCATGGAAAGGCCCAAGGTTATCACTGCTCGGCACACACTGAAATGAGCATCAGAGAGAACCCAGGCAGGAGTTTCTGCAGCAGACCTGGCAATCACAGCCCCTGAAGAAGGCCCAGACCATATTCTTCAGTCTCTAGCACCCAATGTCTAAAGAACATCAGAGCCCTCCTCCATTACAGAGGAGGAATCACTTACGGAACCAGGAAACTGATTCTACTTGCCAACACTGCTCCCAAGAGAATGAGAAAAAGGCTGACCAGTCCCCAGTTTTCCAATGACAATGAGCAGAGGCAGTAACCAGCACCCCGGGGCTCCAAGAAAGCTCCAGGCAAGAACTTACACCAGAGTTCATAGTAGTAGTTGCAGCACTGAGACTGTCCACAGCAGTGTCCTGTGTCACAGATGTAGCTCTGATTGTTGGTACCCACACAGGTTTCCTTATCCTAAAATAAATAAATAAATAAATAAATAAATAAATAAATAAAGCAAGCAAATAAAATTTAGCATATTAAATTACTTCTCATCCCCCCTCTTTCTGGTCATCTGCTCACTCTCCACCAAAATGGATTGTATTAATATTTATTCCGTTAAGAAAAAAATATTAGCCGGGACCGGTTTGGCTCAATGGATAGAGCATCGGCTTGGGGACTGAAGGGTCCCGGGTTTGATTCCGGTCAAGGGCATGTACCTTGGTTGCGGGCATATCCCCAGTAGGGGGTGTGCAAGAGGCAGCTGATCGATGACTCTCATCGATGTTTCTAACTCTCTAACTCTCCCTTCTTCTCTGTACAAAATCAATAAAATATATTTAAAAAAGAAAAAAGAAAAAAAAAAGAAAAAATATTAGAGAGAACAGCAAATTTAAGGGGGGAGGGGAAATGGTTTATTAAAGGGAGAAGAGGCCCTGGGCCAGGAAGCTCAGTTGGATGGAGCATTGCCTCAATGTGCTAAGGTTGTGGGTTTGATCCCCAGTCAGGGGATATATAAGTGTCCACCAATGAATGCTTAAATAAGTGGAATGGCACATCAATGTTTCTCTCCTTCCTCTCTCTCTCTCTCCCCCCCCCCCCAATCAATTATTTTTTTAAGGTCCACATTAAAAAAAAGGGGGGGGGGGAGGATTCAGCACACACAGCTGACTGGTAAAGAGCAGAATTCTTCTCAGACAGGAAAGGGTTATGTCATTTTCTTTATATCCAAGCAGAAACACTGTATATTCCAGTGTTATTTCAACTCAGCTGGTAGCAAGGTGATGATTCTCCTGTAATTAGCAGTGGTTTTAAATAAAACCAGCTTTTCTGTGAAAGTTCCTGGAATAATTAATACAGTATGGATTCTAAGATTAGGATTAGCATCTAGTCAGGCATTCCATCCTCCCTTCAAAACACAAGATCTCCAAGGTTAATTACACTGTGATTTAAACAAAGGCTAAAAAACCAGCTACTAAATTCTTCACTTTTCAGAGGTGGCCTGCACAAGTGACCTAGTCCAAATTCAATTTGCTAGATCATTTTTAGCATATTGAATGATCTCTTAGTAATCTTGACCGGATACAGGATTCATATTGTCCCTTCTCTGGGACAGCTACAGAAAAGGTACTGCTGGGTAACCATCTAGCCGTTTTTTGCCAAATTCTATTCACAGCACTGGGGAATGGAAATGGAGGTGAAAAAGATTTTTTACACTTCACACTTTAAATATGAAATACCCCACCAGCCAACCTGAACTTCAACCCAAAATATTCTCTGGACCACAATGTATATGATGAGACCTGTAAATCAATCACTTGCTCTATCTGGCTTTCAACATTTCTTTATTCTAAAGAAGTGACACGTGGATTTACTGAACACTGTTTTGTGCTAAGCACTGAGCTCGGTAAGAGGACTATGCAACGATAAATAAAGAAGACATTGTTCCTATCCTCAAAAAGCTCAGAGTTAAGAAGGGAAAAAACCCTACTCAGCAAAGAAACTCAAACCACAGTATTGTATTTGCTGGTACTCAGGCTGACCCTGCCCACAGCACACATCCGGGAAGAGGCCTGCCAGTGGAAACCTAAGTCACATGGTCGGTTCATGCTCTCTGCACCTGGCTTTCCTAGTCTATCTACTTGGCCGAGGGTATAAACAAAGCATGCCAGTGACTCTCTACAGGGACAGGGGCCAGAGAGCAACAATACAGGTACCTGAAGCCATAAGAAGGGCTAAAAAACCAGATCCCTGGCTCAGTGCAGGTTTCCACCACACATTCTCAGGTGTTTCCTGGTCTTTAAAGAATCGTACACCCCCGTGTAAAGGGGTTTAGGGAGAAGAAACAAGGGAAAGGCATTTGTAAACTCTGACAATGAGGGTTTCACAATATTGCAAACAATTCTTCTGTCTCTGCCTTCCTGTGTATACCATATACAGAATACAATCACCTGTGAGGCCTGGAGCACATGGAGAAAGCAGATCTGTGCTCACTTTTGCTAGAATATACGCTCTCTGACTTCAGAGTAAGACGCTGCTTTCATAAGGATATCAAAAAGTTTCTCCCAGCCTGGCTGGCATGGCTCAGTGTTGGAGCGTCGACCTATGATCCAGGTCACAGTTTGATTCCCAGTCAGAGTGCATGCCTGGGTTGCAGGCTTGATCCCCAGTGGGGATGGTGCAGGAGGCAGCCAATTAATGATTCTCTCTCATCACTGATGTTTCTATCTGTCTTTCCCTCTTCCTTTCTCTTATTCTAAAAAACAAACAAACAAACAAAAACCCCAAACTTTTTTTAAAAAGCTTCTCCCAAGTCTAACAAGCCTGGAAATACTGTTCTTCTGACACTGACTCACAAAAGCACAATTCAAAAACGTCCATATAGCCGAAACAGGTTTGGCTCAGTGGATAGAGCGTTGGTCTGCGGACTGAAAAGTCCCAGGTTCGATTCCGGAGAAGGGCATGTACATTGGTTGCGGGCACATCCCTGGTGGGGGTGGTGCAGGAGGCAGCTGGTCGACGTTTTCTCTCTCATCGATGTTTCTAACTCTCTATCCCTCTCCCTTCCTCTCTGTAAAAAATCAATAAAAAATATATATATTTTTAAAAACACAAACAACAACAACAAAAAAGTCCACATAGAGGCTGTGCTGTTTATACCCTGACACATTAAAGAATCCAGTGATATTTCTGCCTCGGGAAAATGTACCAGAGGAGGTCCAGGCTCTGAACACAGTAGCCAACTGGTCCTAAGTGAGGCGTGGAATGGAACATGTCTGAAATCTAGACAAGTGGCATCCTCATGACCGACTGGTGTCAGCTTTTCTCCTGGCTCTTCCCTCCCGAGGCAGAAAGCCTGATATAATCAGGAGCCCACGCTTTTTGCCAGGGACAGCAGAACTGAAGCAGCATCCTTCCATACAGAGCTCTCCCAACACTAACTATATATCTCATCTGTCCTTCCTCTGCCCCCAGACAGAGCCCCCACGCTGCCTGGGAAGGTTTGATTATGGGAATTGTCATTTTCTGCTGCAGGAGAAAGGAAAGACAGTGGGCAGTTAAGGAATGGGAATATATAAGTGGGCTCATGGACTTTTAGCAAAGAAAAAAAGGAAGATTGGGGTAGTGAGACGTGTCAAGGTGAACTCCTCCAGAGACTTGCTGGTGTGAGGAAAAAAATCCAGTGCCTGGCGTTTGGTCCCAGCTCTGCCACCACAGAGGAACAGAACTTTGGTTAAGTTCCTCAGTGGTCCTAAGACTTATTAAGATGCTTTCTAATGTCCCCTTCAACCCTAAGTAAGGCTTTATTACCCTACACACCACCCATCCCTCTGACATAACAGCCTTGAGTCAACTCAGGAGCTCCTGTAATCTGTCTCCTCCCATTCATAGTGACAGCAAAGAACAGTGACGTGTGCAAATGCCGCCTGGTGCTTCCCACCCTCTCCTGTAAAGAATGGCTTAACAGTGGGTTACCCAGTGGACTCTCCCAGACCTCACATGGCTCAAGATCTGTCAGGCAGAAGTGATTAAGATTTGGTCAGGCCTGGGTTCAAAACCCAGTTTATTAACTTATTAAGCCCACCATGCTTATTAACTGTGTGAGAGTGGGTAAGTTACTTAACTTCTCTGAGCTTTTAATATCAATATTATTTTGTGAACCATGATTGTCAGCATGAAAGATCATCCAAACAGCACTTTGAATTCACTTAGAACTCTTTCAGAATAGGAAAGTTCACTGGCTGGTCCAGAGACACAAAAATAAGAAAAGGAACTGGAGAACATGCAATGGAAACTTCAAATATGGAAAATTCTCAGCACCCTTTATGATCATCCTTTGCTTTTCTCCCAAGCATCTTTAAGCACTTTACACACATACGTTGGTCAAGCCAGCTCTTGAGGAGTGACCAGTAATTGTCCCTCCCACCCCTTTCTGCAGAGGGGAACCAGAGAATGAGCTGCACTCGCCCTATGGACAGGAGCTCTTGTCTCCTTATCCTCCTCCCCCACTCCCAGTATAAGCACAGTGCCCAGGCCGAGCCTGGCCGGGCCACGCATCTGCTGCCCCAGTGGAGCTGAGGGGATTGGGCGCCACCATCTTTGAGGGCATGGCAGTCAATTAGCATATTCTCTCCCTATTGGCTGTGGGTTGACATATTTGTGAGGGTGTGGTGGTCAATTAGCATATTCCCTCTTTACTATATAGGAGAGCCTCTTTGGTTGAAGTTCTACTTTTTCAGTTGCTTTTACCACTTCAGTTGCTTAAATAAATGTAATAAAAGCCCCAAATAAAATAAAATCAACATTGTGTCTTTGTGGAAAAGATAAGGACCCTGTTCTGTACAGCTCTTTGACTTCGAGAGCAGGATCTTTCCTTTTCTACTTGGCAGCGAGGAGAGGCAACACGGGACTCCTCCTTTCTTTGCTCAAAAGGTCATACTTTCACTCACTGATTTTCTGTGTTCCACACTGGTGTTGCATCCCAGTGTGGAACACAGGTCTACCTTCCTTTCTTCAACATTTACTGAGTAACCTGCATCAGCACTGAGCTGGAGGTGGGCAACACAATAGAAAAATGGCTAAACAATGTCATGATCCCTGTCCTTGAGAAGCTTGCAGTCTCCGGAAAATAATAATAGCAATAATAATAATGTAACCACATAAAAAGGTCCAGAACAGCTTCTGGGAGGAAGGTAAAGTGGAACTGAGATAGTCAGGATGGCTGGAAAGTTAGTAACCAGGGAAGAGGGACAGACGGAAGGAACGAACGTTACAGGCTGAGGAAGGGAAACAAGCAAAGCACTTTAGCTAGCAGTTAGGAAAGTTAGATAAGCGGGAACCAGTCCTCGCAAGGAGATGACAAGATCAGATTGCATTTTATTAATTTGTTTGTTTTCAGAGCATTTTAAAGATACCTTCTTCCTTTATGCAGTTTTCATCTGCATAAAACACCAAGGCCAAAAAATGCTAGAAAG